ACGCCCCCGCCGATTTCTGTCGGTTGATCATGGCCCCTGAGGCAGCGCAGAACCGGTCCACGTGTCGCAGGATGGTCTGCACCTGCACCTTGGACGAGCAGATAAACGAGACGTCGTCTGTGAAGGCCAGCACGCGGACGTCTTCGTCCCCAAGCCATAAACCTGAGATGGATGGGTCCGTATTGACTGCCCGGCAGAGTGGCTCCAACTGCAGCGCGAAGAGGATGGGCGAGACGGGGCAGCCCTGCCGAACCGACCTCCCGATGGGAATGGGACCTCCCCTCTGGCCGTTGATGAGAAGGCGCGTGGAGATGTCACGGTAGCAGAGCGCGATCCACTCCCGCAGCTCCTCCCCCACGCCGAATCGATCCAGCGCCGTCAGAAGTAACCTGTGGGACACCCGGTCGAAGGCCTGCTGCAGGTCCAGCTGCAGGACCGCCAGGGGCTGGTGAACCTTCGCCGCCGCCTCGCCGATCGCCCGCATGATGTGGAGGTTCTTGGATATTTTCCTCCCGCGAAGGCCGTAGGTCTGATGGGGCCCTATGATGGACTTGAGCCCTGTGTCAAGTCGCCTTGCTAGGATCTTGGCCAGGATTTTATAATCAGAGCAAAGAAGACTGATGGGCCGAGGGTCCCCGACCTCGGAAATAGGGCCCTTTTTAGATTTCTTCGGGATCAGTACCGTGAAGCTTTGCCGCATGGTCGGAGGAGGTAGCCTTCGTCTGCGGATGTCATTGAAGACTCGAGCCAAGATGGGGCACAGAGCGTCAGAAAAGATTTTGTAAAATTCTGACCCGATGCCGTCCGGGCCGGGAGCTTTGTTATGGGACAGGTGCTTGATTGCATGTAGGACCTCGGCCTCCCGGATTGGGCAGTTCAAAATGTCAACTGCCCCCTCAGGAACCGAAGGAGATCCCCGGAGAAAGGGCTCGAAGGCGACATCGTCAAGCCTCTCCTCCAGGAAGAGCTCCCCGAAGGACGTCTCGAAGACGCTCGCGATGTCTTCTCTTGAGGTGAAAACACGAGCTCCTTGCTGCAGCTCCTTGATAGTGTTCTCTGTTGCCCTTTTCCGCTCGTGTGTGCGGAAGATCTTCGAGGGCTGCGTCTCTCCCTCGAGTGTCTCGACTCTGCTCCTCACCTGGGCTCCCTTGTAGCGCTCCTCCAGCATGGCCAGCGGATGCTCTTTGCAGAGCTTGATGTCGTCACTGAAGGATCCTGGACTGCTCTCCTCCTCCTCTAGCAGCAGAACGCGAATAATCACCGCGAAGCTACTATTTAGTGCTCTCACAAGCCCGGTAAATAGTGGCGCAACTACATGCGCGACCCCAAAACAGCATTCTGGACGTGAAAACGTCCTAATGTTCCGTCAAACGATTTTCCAGAGAAGTAGCGTATGTCTCAAATAATATTATAACACGCCTGTATAGGAAAACTGCGGAATGCTATCTTTTGGTGGTTCAACTGTCATTTTAAAATTGCACATACCAGCTCAGCTCTTGAGAAAATATAAAATCTGCCATTCTCTCCCCTCGTCAAAACACCTCATGTCTTATATCGGTTTCATGTCTATGTCTCGCCTGCTTTCATCAGCTGCCAGTAGCACATAAAAAAAAAATTTTCTTGCGCGTCGTACATTACCGAAATTTATACAGCGTACGTGGTCCAGATGTCAGACGAGACCTAGATAAATCTTTAAAAAATCGGATTTGCAAGCTACGACAGTGTAATTGCCCGCACAAGTTCGGCTAGGTAGTGGAATTTATTTTTGAAAATAAAAAAAAGGAAAGACTTGACCCACTCAAAAGTTGCAAGTAAAAACAAGCAAAGTTCTATGGGCCGACATAAGGTGAAGCCTTAATTTTACTCCTAAAAATAGAAAACAATCTTGTGGGCCACTGGGACGTTTGATAGACAAAAACGGGGGACGATATCAAGGCTGTCCCGTCCACGCTTGTATCAAATCAAGCACCCCAATGGCCTACAACCACGGTTTCTTTTTTTATTTTTATTTTTAGATCGAGATACGTGGGAATTTATTGATTTTCCCTTGTAACTTTTGACTGAGGGAAGTATTTTTCTGGATATTTTAAGTAACTAAATTCACCACCTAGCCGAACTTGCGTGATAAATTACAGTGTTGTAGCTCGCAAATCCGAATTTTTTGCGATTTATTTAGGTCTCATCTGACACGTAGACCACATATCAGTATGAGGATTAATGTAGCTTTATTACAGATTTGGTGACATTTCGTATTTTTAGAAGCCTCTTTGGAGCGAAAATAGTCCATATATCAGCACTGGTATGTGCTAGGCATCATTTACATAGTATCTCCATAGGCAGGTCATCGTAGTGAAATAAATCAGCGTCATTTAGCGCTAGCATACTTGCTAATATATATGACTACAAACACCTATACGTACCGAAAAACAAACTCCTGGGAGATAGTTTAAGGAAGTGGTCCAGTAGCTAACAGTTACTATTCTGAAAAATCAACTCAGAAAATCCAGCTTGAGTTTTGAAGCATTTATTCACAAACATTTGTGTACTTCGCCAAGTGGTGTTAAATAAACCAATCTAAAAACAAAAGAACACTGACACCCCCCAAAATTTTTTTATTATTATTTTCTGCCAGGCGATTTATTATGGTATCAGAAGACTACCGAATCAATATGTTGCTGCAGCGTCACGTATATTTTTAATAAAGTTAAAAAAAAAACGCAACTGCTTGAAACCGAAACTGGACTGGGGAGTCTAGAGGTTTTTGCGCGACACAAGGGACAATAAGTGAGTAGACACGGACAAGCCCCTCTACTTCCTTCTGTCGCGCAAACACTAATAGACTGCACCATGAACCAACTAGGCCAACAAGTTTTAATGGACTGGGGAGGAAAAAGAAATATAGAAAGAGGAGAGAGGTGGCTGTGATACTTCTTCCCCCCCCCCCTCCCAAAACAACGTATTTGCAGCTTTTTAGAAGCCACAAATAATGGGCATCATATGTCTTTTCCATTTCTAATATTGTGTGCCTGCCTTCGATGGCGTACGACTCTGATCTTTGGTGCTGCTCAAAACAAATTTTGAGCAGCGAATTGTTTTCCGGGTAGTTGGGCTCTCATATGTAATGTACAAATAAAAACCTGTCAGTGTCCTTTTAAAACTGTAATAGGTTCTGCGTTTTTGAATAAAGCCAATAAAAACCAGAAAACACTTGCCGATAAAAAATTTTGTTATTTATAAATTTTGTCAATTTAGATTTGTCGTAAAAACTCGAAATTGTTTGGGTCTGCAAGCTTTAACAAACCCAACAGGTCTTTATATCATCGTGGTTCCGCGAGCCAGATTACGATTCACCTCGTTTTTAGTGTCAATTTCCAATTGTAGGTGTCACAAAAATTGCTGTTTAGTCTTTTATAATAAAAATATGCTAGCCTCCCTACAACCACAGTCGAATATGTTTCACACATGAAAAGGCTCCTTTACTAAATTTGGAAACTGCTGCTTTCTACCTTTCATTCACTTCGGCTAGAAAAGCCACTCTGAATTTTATGTACCACAAACTAAAACTCCCAAAAACTCTGCATGAATTTTGCTCAGAAATGAAATCCAATACGCAGAACCCCAAATATGTCACAAATAAACACTGACCATTCTCCTTTTACGGCAATGCGCTCAGTTTATCAGTTGAAGTTCACATATGTAAAGAATGTTACACACAGAAGATGACAAAGCATTTAATTGCAGATACACACGTGATCACTATTATATTCATATAAGGAAGAGAAAAGGATGGTGTGGCCCTAATCATGACGTCCTATTTCAGGCATGGCCTGCTGCATACCACATTGTGGTTCAAGCACACGGAAGCCAGGTCAAGAAAGGAACTTTGCACTCCACGAAATACCATCAGATCCGGATGGACGAGCAAGGTGACTACAAGCAATCAAGAGAGATGACTGGCTGCCATCAACCTACTCCATGGTTTGCAGTCGGCACTTTGTGCCATCCGACTATGTTGAGGGCAAACGCCGGAAGCTGAAGAAGGGCGCTATCCAAAGCATCTTTTGGAGCATGCCGCCTTCAAATATCACTAAGATGAAGGACGCTATGAGAAGGAAGTGCAGCACTCCATATTCATCAGAAGTTCCCAAGAAGAGGCAATGCCTGGACACAGGCAGTTCGCAAGTGACTGATTCGACATCAAGCTTAACACCGGAGACTCCACCGACCTTCTTTCTGTGCAATGAAGGTGCTGAACGAATCCAAATCATCTGGACATCTCCAGCGAGCACCTTGGAGCCTCAAAACAGGCAGGCATCAGAAGTGTCAGACAGGAGGCCACGCCAACAGCCCGTGCTGTTCACCCATCAAGGAACACAGGCAGACGTTCGAAAGATGTCAGCAGAAATAACCGTAGAAAACGTAAATGAACCCGACGAGTCACCGCCCTTCGAAACCAAGTGGAGAGACTCAAGAACACAGTTGGCAGATACAAAAAAAGACTTGGAAAAGTTGCAAAACCTGTGGGAAGAAGATGATGTCACAAATTTTCTTAACATCCGTGAACAAGCAAAGGAAAAGAACATGTCGGCTATGTTTCTAGTCGACCAAGTAAAGAGCTACCACAAGAAAAGCCCAAGGTGAACAGAACATACCATCCGTCATTGCATTTTGCTGAGACACATCTCTACAAAGGCCTATGAACACATAAGGTCTGAAGAGCTTTTTAAACTTCCCAGCAGGAACACTCTGCAAAGCTACATTGGAGCTGCCTCTGGTCAAACTGGCTTCAGCGACTTGGCAAAGGCTCGGCTTCAAACAGAACTGCACAACCTGGCAAACAGACAATCAAGGACATGCTCTCTCATTATTGATGAAATGCAGATCAAACAGAGCTTGCAGTACAACAAGCAGCCGGATGTCTTTGTGGCCAAGCCGACCTCGGACCATTGACTGAAAAGACCAAGCAGCCCATCCTGGCAAATTCGCTGTTGTGCTTTCTCATGAATGGGCTCAGCATTCCATACCGGATTTCTGTTGCCTACTTTTTTACCATAGGGTTAACAGGAACCGAACTGGCCAAGCTTCTGCTTCATGTCTTGGGCAAGGTGGAAGACGTTGGCTTCAAAGTACTCCGGATTGTAACTGACAATCACCGAGTGAATGTCAATGCAATGAAGCAGCTTTGTGGGGGACTCCTTACACATCATATCCTGCACCCAAATGACCCGGAGAGGATTCTGTTCCTTAGCTTTGACTATGTTCACATCTTGAAGAATATACGGTCCCAATTCCTGGAACGCAACTTTGGAAAGGACAATGAGATCAAGTCCTTCTACCTCAAGAAGCTGTACGAGCTCCAGAGAGGGGCGGCTGTCAAGCCAGTCAGGTTCCTGAGTCGCAAACATCTTTTCCCTAGCAACATAGAGAAAATGAATGCCAAGAGAGCAGTCCAGCTCTTCTCCCCTGAAGTGACCGCTGTGCTCAAGCACATCCAGGAACAAGCTGGCCACACAAGTGACCTACTGTATGCGGACGCAGGACCAACCATCTTCTTCATGAACTCTGTGGACCGCTGGTTCATTTTGCATGATACCAGTGACTGCAAACAACACATACACCAACGCTACCCAGATGTGCGCCAGTATGATCGCCCAGACGACCCTCGTCTGGAATGGCTTGTGTTTTCATTCCCAGCCTATCTCGAGCAGGTCAAGAGCACGGCAAGCCCATCACAGTTCCTGACGACAGAAACCTACGAAGCCTTTCTCTTGACAACATACTCGACAGTTGCATGTGTACAACACCTTCTCACCAAGGAAGAGTTTGGATTTGTACTGACCAGGAAGTTCAGTAGCGACGCCATTGAGTCCCTGTTTGGCTCATTGAGACGATGTCAAGGGTGCAATGACCAGCTTAGCGTTCGGGCTGCAATCTCAGGAATTGAAAAGATCCTGAAAACTGGTCTCATCACAGCTTCCCAGCAGAGCAATGTGTCACATGCTGCCTCGACCTCATCGGGTATGACTTCAGCAATTCGGTGCATACCACCAACAGTGTCAGCTGCCACGCCATTCCAACTTCCACAGAGTGCAGCGGAAATCTTAGAAAAGCTGTCAGATCCCAATGTACAATACCTGCCAAGCCTCGAGCTGTCGGCGACAGCGCACGTTGGGGGCTGCATTGCCCGTGTTGTACAAGAACACTTTTCATGCTTCTTCTGCATACCTCTTCTTACAAAGCCGAAGACAAACAGTGCCTTGCAAGGGATCACAAACCACCTGGACCGGGGAGGCCTTTTGCATCCCTCAGATGAACTCGCCCACCTTCTAAATGTCCTCAGGATGTTTGCAGCGGATGTGTTGTCGTACGACCTCAGGAACTGGCAGCCCCTCGAAACTCTTGTGAAGTTTGCACTGCCAGCAGTGTATGACTCTCCTTTGCTGCTCTGCCCAACGAACAACAAGGCTCATCGCCGTGAACTGATCCATCTTGTCTGCACAAAGTTCTTTAGACCACTCCTTGTTAACTATGCCTTCTGTTACACAGGCAGGAACGATAGATTTAAGATGTTTGCACGAAAGCCTATATCTCGGAAGTTTCAGAAGGTGAGGTAGAGTGCACGCAAAGGTAGATTAGAGCAGTGTTTTCTTTTTTTTTTTTCTACCTATAGTCAAGCGGACCTCTGTTCATATGTATTTAATTTGTCCTTTAAGCCTTGGTATGTAGTGATTTTGTGTCCGAGTTGGTCTTTCTGCGGAAATTATATGATATATGTATAAAGATTATATTTGTTTCCAATGAGTTTACTGGGTGCCTTTACTCCCGCTAATAATTCCAGCACCTGCTACAAGTCGGTTTTCTCTTAAATTTGGTAGGATTTCCAGCACTCGTCACTGCAAGGTGACTCGATCACGTTCCACCAGTAACATAGCACAACACTGCAGCAATGTTTTGTGTTGCTAGGGTTTGTTTCAATGCGTTGAAACGTATCAATTATAAAAAAAGGGAGACAAAATGTTGTTGCAAAACTTCTTTCAGCAGAACTGCTGTCCCTTATTTAGAAACAGTTCCATCCTTGCTAATCACTGCTCACGACGTACCTTTTTTTTTTCATTTACATAATTCAACATGTTAAAAATTTAGACACGATGCAATATTATTACATGGAAAGCCTTTGACCAGCGCGACTGTGTAATATAGAAAGCCGAACTCTCGACCGACGTTTCACTGCCTTGCCTGACCTTAATTTTGCTCTTTTCTGACGTTCGAGCTTGCAAACCCTGCTGGCCGAAATTATTAATACCGCAGCGCTTTTCCTACTTACGCACAACTCAGGTTAAGATTGCGTTGTAACCCAGATACTGCTCCTCATCCGGGGTTCGAGTCCAATCACAGCGGCTCATGGGGTTCTCACCGAGTTCCCGCCGTGCACGCCGATATTTGGCCATTTGGCCGCCGAGCACGTCCGGCGAATCTTCTGCTCCCTTCGGGAAGGCCCATGGGCTTCACCGCACAACACAACATGTACGCCTAGCTGGCGCCGCCCCGCGGGAACCACACGCACTTTTTGCCGGCCGCCTTTGCATTGCCGGAGCCACGAGCGGACGGGCATTGTACACTCATCTAGGAGGCTCTGATTTGACTATTCGTTTTATACGAGATGCTTCGGATGCAAATGCAGTTAAGTTTTCAGCATGTTATGCAAAGCACTCGTACATCACTCGCCGTACTTCAGTTCTACTCACCTGCCATGTCGAGTACTTTCGCGCCGTAGAACGATCCTTTTGTTCGCGCGTCTCCGGCCCAGTAGACCTGGTACACCTTGTCGTCTTCAACTTTTTATTTATTTATTTATTTATTTAGACAAACTGCCGGCTGCCATTTGGCAGCCAAGGCAAGACAGGGCACACAGGGCAACACACAAGAAGAAAACCACATTGCACGCTAGTAAAAGGAAAAACATCTAGGACTGCACATCTAACAAATAACGCTGTAGTGATGAGGCGAATTCCTGAACGGACGAGACATTGGTAATGTTGGCAGAAAGACTGTTCCATTCGTTAATGGTTCGTACGAAAAAGTAGTTTTTTAAACATTGGGTTCTGCTGTAAGGTACCACAATTGTGTTGGAGTGTTTGTATCGTGTGTGACGGGATGTGTTAAATTGCATAAATCTCTCGAATGAAAGGCGAGATGAGTCATGTACAATGGTATACAAAAGCTTTAGACGATTAATTTTGCGCCGGGTTGAAAGAAGCTCAATTTTCGACCTATTGTACAAGTTAGTGATAGAAGTCATTCTTTTGTACTCGTTGTCAATGAAGCGTAGGGCTTTCTTCTGTACCCCCTCGAGTCGATCAATATTAAGTTTAGTCGCAGGGTCCCAAAGAACATCCGGGTATTCTAAGACAGGTCGTATTACTGTCGTGTAGATTGCTAGCTTGGTTTCAGGGGTACAGTGCTTCACCCGCCTCTTCAATGACCATAGTTTTGCTGATGCCTTCTGAGCAGTCCAGGATATGTGGCTATTCCAACTGAGGTTCGAGGAGATAATGACACCTAAGTATTTGAATTCATGTACAACTTGCAAAGGGGAGTTTTGTATATAGTATTTAAATTCCAAGGGTGACCCCTTGCGCGTTACTCTCATTTGTACACTTTTCGAGCTGTTTAGCAACATTTGCCATTCGTTACACCATTGAGAAATTGAACACAGGCACTTGTTTAAATTAAGTTGGTCATTGCTTGAAGCTATTTCAGTAAAAAGCACACAGTCATCTGCAAAAAACCGGCAGTGTATACCCTCATCAACCGTCAAATCGTTTAGAGAAACAAGAAAGGGCAGCGGGCCCAACACCGATCCTTGCGGAACGCCCGAGAAAACTGATACAATTGGGGAACAAGCCCCACCTACTTCAACGAACTGATGACGGTTGCTCAAGTATTAATCCAACCATCGCAAGGAGATTATCGTTTCCTAGAATCACTCTTAGCTTGATAAGTAGTTTGCTGTGTGACACGCGACCAAAAGCCTTGGCGAAATCTAGGAATACTACATCCATTTGCGCCCCCCCCCCCCCTTGTCAACGACTTTTGCAAGTTCATTTACTATATAAAGGAGCTGAGTTACCGTAGAGTAGCCACGCCGGAAACTATGCTGGCTCTCTGATAAAAAAATTATTCGATTCAAAATGTGACATGAGATGACTAAATAAAAAATGCTCTAGAACCTTGCTGCACGAGCAGAGCAAGGAAACGGGGTTATAATTCGATGCGTCAAATTTATCTCCTTTCTAATGAATGGGTATAACTTTTGTCACTTTCCACTGATTAGGTACCACCCCTCTCTCTAGCGATCTGCTATAAATTAGAAAAAGAAATTTAGAACACCACTCCAGCGTACTTTTTTAAAAACACATTGGGAATTTTGTCTGGACCGCAAGACTTTTTTGTATTCAAATTTAGTAACGCAGAGAAGATTCCCTCCTCTGATAGTTGTATGTCTGGTACGTGAGCGAGGTTTATCGAGAACTCAGGAACGAAGCTGTCACTTGTGGTGTACACAGAGGCAAAGTAGTCGTTAAATATCTTCGCGATTCAACTAATATCAACTAATTCCCTCCCATGTTGAATGATCTTGTTAACTGAGTGTCTTCAACCCGATATATGCCTCCAAAACCTCTGGGGATCGTTACGAAGGCAGTTCGACATTTTAACGTTGAGATACTCATACTTGGAATTCTTAATGAATGTTCTCAATTTATGACGTAAGGCAGTCAATTCTATTTTGTTTCCGCGTTTTCTGCTTAGCCTATTGGCTTTCCTTTTGATTTGTTGACTGATTAAACATGTTTTATTAATAAAAAAGAAGTAAAACGCGTACGACTCTCTCTAATCAATTGTCCACTGACATCGGAGAGAGAAGGGGGTGGGGGAATGGGGTGTGGATAGGTGGGGGGTACCAGAAATGTCTCTATTCAGATGGAGTCCTGGATGCTTGCTGTCGCGACAAAGTCAAGAAGCGAGTCTAATATGGCTTTGCGGTGCGCCCCTCGGGTGTATCCAGTCCCGAAGGCACGCCGGCCGCAGCTTAGGTTGCAGTTTTCGGACGGCTTCTTCCCGCGCCCGGCTGAGCTCTACACAGTCCCATAAGAGATGGGCACTTGTGGCTTGTTGTCCAGCTGCGCATCGTCTGCATGATCCATCGTCGGCGTAAAATCTCCCTTTGTAAAATCTCCCTTGTGATCCATGGGTTATTCTTTTTAGTTCGCTTCCTACGAGATGGCACAAATCGTTCTATACGCGTGTGCACCGCATTTTGAAAAGTGCACCATAGTTCGTCTACATCGCATCCCGGAACTGAAGCCCTATCAGCAAATCTGTCGAACGATAGCTCGAGGTAATCTATTATACTTTCGTCTTGTGCTCTATTATAGTCCTTAAACTTTGCTCTCTTATCAGGACAACGTTTGGGGACAAGTCACAGATAATCGAAAACAACCATATGGTGGTCGGATAAACCCTCTGTGACCACACAGTGATCATCGGCAACATACAAATTCTGAGAAACAAAAACAAGATCAAGGATCGAACTAGTAGAATCTGTGATGCGAGTGGGACTTGACCCTATTTGTGTTAGGTTATATGCGAAGGCAATATCAATTAATGCATCTGAATGTTTACAAGAGGCCACTCTGGTCATCGAAGGCCAATCGATGTTTGGGAGATTGAGGTCAACCCCCATAATTATATTCATGAGACTCTTAGATTGCTCTTGTGAGAAGTCTTGAAGTTCACACATCACAGCTATGCCAGCACTTGGTGGCCTGTAAGCAGCTCCAACAAGAAGAAATGAGTTAGAGAAAAAAAGTTTCACCCATAGAGCCTCAGCTGTGAACTTCGTATTTAGCAGGAAAAAATCGATGCTATTTTTGATAACGATTGCGACCCCCCCCCCTCTCCGGGAAGAACGGTCCTTACGAACAATTTTATAAGACTGCGGAACAATCTCAATATCAGATATACTATCCCTGAGCCAAGTCTCACTAACTATTATTATATCGGGGTCATAACTGAGAATTATATCTTCGAATTCAACCGTTTTATTTACAATGCTTCTAGCGTTTAAGTTAATTAATCTAAGCGGTTTATTAGCTACAGTGCGTGGATTATTAGTTACAGTACAAGGATTATTTTCGGGAGCAGTTGACGGAAACCGGTCTAGAACTGTTAGGGGTACTGGCCCGTAGTCAATTAGTATCTTCGTGCCTGGTATAGTTTAGTGGCACTCTTTCGTTCGCACTGTCATCCCAGCGAAAGGCCTTGCCATTAATTTTTATTTTGTCGAAAGATAAGATAACTTTATCGCCATTTTTTCGTAGGTCTTTGGCACTTTCCCATAGCTTTTTTAGAATTTGTTGCTCTCGTGGGGAAAAATCTTCCGAAGTGCTATAAGCCGAACCCTTCAGTAGCCGGCAACTGCTCAAAATTTTAGTTTTGTCCCTACCATCAAGCAGTTTAAGAATGATTGGCCTGGTTTTGTTTGGGCTTTTCCTGCCCAGTCGATGTATTCTTTCTATTCCAGCAGTTTGAACTTTCAGGATACTTTGAAACA